TTGGATAAATGTCGTCTGCTAGGTAGTATGGCCCGTCATACATACGTCCATTGACGCAATCCGTGAATTTTGGTGCCTTTCCTTGTAGGACATTGTTGAACACTGGGGATTGGGTAAGGATATTGAGGTCATTTTCAGCTTCCAGAACCCCGAAAAAGGCATGCCAAATCCATGCATCAAAAGATGCCACTGCCTCCAAAATGATACTTTTTGCTCATTTTCTGTCCCTATAAGCGCATTGCCATGCACTTGGATAGTTTTTCCACGTTCAGTACGTACAATCGATGCTTCCAATCATCCCAGGAAAACCTCGCATCTCGCCCTTCTTCATAAGCCCTTGCAAGTCCATGTCAGTAAGTTTCTGGAGATACTCTACCAGTGTAGATAGATTCGATTGCTCTGCAAAACCTCATCAAGGACTCAAGAATGGTTGATTTCCCCATCCTCGTTATCTCATCCACTTGGTCTGCAGATGCTCCATATGCAAGCATCCGCAAGACATCAGTAATTTTTTGCTAGGGAATGAGACTTATAGCACCAAAAGCATCCTTCTTTTACACAAAGTAAGAATCATAGTTGCAAACAACAATAATGATTTTATTAAACAAATGTCGTTCCATTCTAAAACGACGTCTAAAGTACATATCAGGGAATGCACTATTATGGACAAAATAATCGTCCAAGAGTTCCGTACCTCGTCGTTACCTGCTTCTATCAAGGTTTCCGGAATGGCTGGGCTTGCAGATCTGACCCACAACATAAATGACTCGATGGGAATATGAGGTTCTTGCCATTCTTGCTTCAACATCTCTCATTCTACGTTCCTCATCCTCTTCCCTCTCATTTTGGGTCACCTAGAGATTGAACATTCATTCTGATTGGTTAAACAATTCTTCCTCTTGCTGATCGATTTCCCACATCATCTTGAAGAAGAAGAAGACATTATAAAAATGAAGCAGAAACTATAAATAATGATAGAGATCTTGAGAAAATTGGTGTGAGATTTGTGACGATGGATGGTGGATTATATGGAGGATTCAGAAGGGATTAGGTTGTAGATAATGCCACGTGGCATGTTGTCATTCGTTAAAAATCTAATGGAAATCTATCCTCAAATATTGTAAACATATTATGACACGTGGCGCGACGTGATTGGTTAATAATCTTATCGGAAATCTATCACCAATAATTGTATTTTCAAATAATGACACGTGACCCAACGACTACGATTAAAAATCTTATCAGAAATCCATCACCAATAATTGTCTTTTCGGATTTTATGACATGTGGCGCAACGAGAACGATTAAAAATCTTATCCAAAATTACAAATAAAATTATTTTATATTATTTTATAAATTTTCGAATAATGACACGTGGCACAACGAAAGCGATTAAAAATCTTATTCGAAATTACAAATAAAATTATTTTGTATTATTTTATAATTAAATAAAATATTAATATTTTATTGCCTATTGTCAGGGCTATTGAAGTGTAACGGTGGAGATGCAAAAGACGATTACTGTTCATTAAGGGTAGTTACTGTTCACTGGATGGATAATATAGTGTATTGCTTGGGGGTAGGGTTCCCACGCTAGAACTAGTATGAAGAGTCTAATTTTAAGAGAATCTTGTTACCATATTTGTATTTCTCATTTTCTTTTATAATACCAATAGGAACTTTCTAAAATTTTAAAAACGATATCCATCGGGCGTGCTTTCTCCGAGTTAAAGTTCCCATGATTAGAGAGACTTAAGTTCATCTTGATTCGTGCTGTAGTAATCATCTAGTACTTAAAAAAATGAGATTTCCGAATTTGCAAACAGTAAAAATCTCGTGGATCAAATAAGAATGTTCTTACCTATAAAAAACTTTGTCTGCTTGGATTAATTCATCTGTAAAATAATAAGCAGACAGATCCATCAATGGCCTTTCATGGAGAAACAATAGTACTGGATCCCACGTCTATATATTCTAATTATATTCATTAACTATTAATCTGGTACTTAGAAGTTTATAAAACTAGTTTATCATGGGACTAGGAGCATGTTCGCCTATCTTGGAAACACAATTGTCAGTTCCCTTTGGCTAGCTAAGCTTTTTGCGCCATCTGTTCATAGAATCTTCTCTTAAATCTGTGAGTGTGTAGAGAGAGAGAGAGAGAGAGAGAGAGAGAGAGAGAGAGAGAGGACGGTTCCATGACACCATTATTTTTATAGAACTTTTGTTATAAGTTTTTGTGAATGTAATATATTTCAACTATCTAAACCATGTATCTTTTAGAACATCATTTATAAATCATCATTGCAAAAAAACGGATAAATCAAGAATAATTAAGACATTTATTTGCAGTAAAGAAAATGCACGAATACGTTTTTACAAAGAAACCCTAAAACCTTAATTCAACAGTTATATTGTTTCGGATTTGGTTAATTTTTGAAAAACATGATATTTGAGAAAATACCTAAAAGATAGATTGTTTGGATCGTTGAAATACATTACAAAGTGAACCTCACAATTTTTGTGTTAAAAATTATTTAAAAAAATTGGTGTCACGGATCCATCCTAATTATACATATATACACAGATTTAAGAGAAGATTCTATTAACAGATGGAGCAAAAAGCTTAGCTAGAAAAAGGGATTTGAATAATTTGATGCATCCCACAAACTCTCATCTCCTCCATCACCAAACAAATGCCTACTAATAAATAACGATAAAAATGTCAAAGCAAGCTTTACCACATATTGTCAATTGATAAGTTAGAACCAATAAAAATATTAAGATCATATGATAAAAATAAAGGTAAATTACATTTTAGCTCATCAGGTTTCAATGCAATTGCAACCATATAACATCTTTAAAACGTTTTAATTTCATACGTTTACTATTATTTTATTTCAATTTCATACAATCATTACAAAGTCTGTTAAATTAACCATTAAGTGATGATATGGCAAATATGGGGTTCTCATTTGTGCTGACGTGGTTGCCACATTTGTGCCACGTGGCTCAACACTTAATAAAAAAATTTAAAATATTAAAATAATTAATTAAAAAAAAAGTAAACAAAACAAAAATCCCCTTTGCCTTCCCTACCTGAGCCCAACCCCTTCTCCCATCCCCATCACCCACCCAACCCCTTCCTCCATTAATTCTACACCTCCATCTAACCCAAAATACCAAATTCCCCTTCGTCTTCCCCACCTGAGCCTACCCCCTTCTCCCATCACCCGTCACCCACCCCTTCCCCCATTAATTCTGAACTCCTCAAACGCAAAACTCGCACAAAATTACTCACACAATGAATGACTTTCTTTAATTTGCGCATGGGTTAGCAACATGTTCAGATCTAGGTGGAATTGGGTTCAGATTTGAATTCTTCGAGTTGCAGGTCGGGCTGGTGAGGTCCAAATTAGGCAATGAGGACATCAAGGTTCCGTGATGTCGGTGCGAGACTTCTACGCTCCACCTCCATCAAATTTTTGAAGGTAGTCGAGAGTTCTACGCATAGTGGCGCTTTCGTCAGGGTCCTGGTTCTTGTCGCCAAGAGAGTCCACGAGAACCCTAGTGAGGAATTTGGAAATTTGGCTTAGATGGAGGTGCAGAATTAATGGGGGATGGGAGAAGGGGGTGGGCTCGGGTGGTGAAGACGAGGGGGATTTTTGGTTTTCTATTTTTTATTTTATTATTATTCTTTTTTAAACTTTTCTTTAATTAATTATTTTAATATTCTAAATTTTTTATTAAGTGTTTAGCCAAGTAGCACAAATGTGGCAACCATGTCAGCATAAATGAGGACCTCATATTTGTCATGTCATCATTTAACGGTTAATTTAATAGACTTTGTAACGGTTGTACGAAATTGAAATGTTTTTAAAATGTTGTATGAGGTTGCAATTGCACCGAAACCTGAGAGGGTAGAATGTAATTTACCCTAAAAATAAATGAAACATCAAGGAGCCTTTTTATAAGATTTTTATCTTATTATTATGTTAATTTTTCTTTAGTTGGAGATTGATGAGAAAGAAAGGAAAAAATGAGACATCAGCATAGAAAATTATTAGAATGATGTATATATAATAGAAATTGATAACTAATTTATAAATAAAAACGACGAGGCAAGGGTAAAGGTTAGACTAGTTTTTAACAAATGTGACAGTTTTCAACATTGCTGTTTAATTTTTAAGCTTCAAATTGAATTCTTTGTTGATTAAGTCCTAGATTTGGAATCATTGTGATTCTTCATTCTCTATATATGTATATAAAAAAAAAACTTAATAATTTTACATACGAAACACTATATGTATCAATTTTTTAATAAATTAACAAAAATTAATTTTCCAATAAGCTAATAGCATATCGGTTTTAACTTGTAACTGACTAATTTATGGGTTTCTATCCCTTATTTCTATTCTCTCACATTCTTTTTGTGTTGGCACGGTTGATATGGTATAGAAGGGGCATAATTAGAAACACAATATGTAATGTAATTACACTTATTTGGGTTAAGTAAATTTGTTTATTATTTTAAACTTTATTTCGAATAATAAATACCATACTTATGTCTTGCCTTAAAATAGTCCATGCAAGGAAAAACAAACGTTTGACAAAATAAACCCACAAATTAATATGTCAATTATCATAGTGCATGCATTCACTAGTAGAAAAAAACACTTTGTGCGACGTAGGTACCTTCGTCGTGCAAAGTCTGATATCGTTGCCTAAAAAATAGCGCAACGAAACCTTCGTCACGCGCTAACCGTAGCGCCAAGACAATGACAGTAGGGTTTGCACGACGAAGAAGAAACATACGTCGCGCAAAAAGGGTTTGCACGATGCACATATCTACGTAGCACAAAGACGCAAAGACAGCTTTGTGCGACGTAGGACTTGCGTCGCGAAAAGCCACACTTTGTCACGCAAACCCTTTTTTTTTTTTTGGCAAAAATATTTTATATTTAATTTTTAATAAATATTGTAATTAAAACAGTAATTAATAAACCAAGAAAAAGTATTTAATTATAAAATATATAAAAATGTACATATAAGATGTCCAAACCAAAAAAAAAAAAAAAAACAAGAAGAAGTAATCTTCTAAAGTAAACAACAAAATGATGAGATATGCAAAGAAATATCAAACTATCCAGAGACCTCTAACAAACAAGGACATTGTCACTTGAAGACTTCACATTTTTTGAACACCTCCAAACAATGGACCTTGAGAGTGAACTACTGCCCCTAATGCTTGAGCCTCAACAATTGTTGCATCTCTCTATCTGCATGGACATAAGCATATGGATTAAGAAAAAAAATTTGTACTTGTATAGGTAGAACTCTTGAAAAAATTATATTAAGGGGGGAGAAAAGCTAAACACATGATAGATTATGAACCTGCTAAATAGCCATGGATTCAATTCTACTAACCCCAAATACCAGAGAACATATATTACTACAGGTTCCCCAGTATGTATGGATTGCATGAAAACAAATGCAAGGCTTGAAATTTCATATTGAGACATTAAATAGTAGTATTGTAAGCAATAAGAAAGAAAAACAAGCACATCCAAGCAATTTTCATGCTTAATATTTGTTTAGTAGAATGTCTCTCATTGTAGAATCTTTAAAGCAAGTAAATCATATAATTATCGTACTGCAAGGATGGAGTTATGTTGGTGATAGGCTACTATCAACAGTTATACCTTACAAAGAGAGTGGCTGGTATGACGGACAAATGTGGGTAAAGCCACCTGAGGTTAACACCCTTCACCTTATCATTTCTCAGTTAATAAGGATCAAGGATGAAGTCCTTCTGGAAATGTCATCCTTCAAAGTTTAATCCACATATCTTATTCAAGTATTCAACTGAAGAAGGCTACTTAAAAAATCAAGATGTGATGAAATTCAAAGAAATGAATTGATCACATAAGCCTCAACTTTCAAAGATATTAGCTGATCACATAAGCCTTAACATTCAATGATATTAACTGATCACATAAGCCTTAACGTTGATGCATATATTGCCTCTAAATCAAAACCTCAAAAATTTGATCATGCTATGGAAACTGTATCTTGTGGCTTATCACTAGAGCTTAATACTCAAACAAAGTTTTTGAGAGTTGGACCATGTCCCTATGTGTGGTGTATATGTGCATATGTGCATATGTATGTCAAATATTAACTGAGTTTGGTTTATCTCTCTATCTTTCAAAGTTTTTTTCGTATATATGTTCTCGAATCCAAAGAGTCAATTCCTTGCTCTCTCCTCCTTTAATTTGGCAGATGGGTTTTTCAATTTAATTCTCCACCCATGACAGAGAGTCTGTGTGTAAAGAGAGCAGGCAAAAAGGGTTTGGCATTTGGGCGGTGACGATTGAGTTGCTGTTGCTCAAAAAATGGATTGCAACAATGACAAGTACATTTAAATTTCTTTCATTTTAGCTTCTGGGTACTTTCGGATGTGGGTTTTTTGCTTTCTGATTTACTTGGTGGTTCATTGTTTTGTACTTTTAGCATAATTTTTTGTACTGTACGGCTTAAAGCAAAATGCCCAAATGCGGATTATTATATTCTACTAATTTAGCTTAATATTTTATGTAGTTGAGTTGCTGCTTAAGTATCATTAAAGTTAGAAAATATCAATGTTATAGCGAAAGAAGAAGGAAGAGAAACAGTTGAGTCATCATTTTTCTGTTTTAGGTAACATAGTTTCTTCACTTTTCATATTTCCTTATCTCCATGATCTCTTACCTTTGAGATTAATCAGTTTTGGAGCATCTTACTTCCATTTCAAAATGGAAGTTACTAAACACAATAGGTTTCACTTTATGGTTAAGAAGTTCAATCTGATTAAGTTAAAAAAACCTTGTGGATTTAAGAACTCTGTTGCATTCATGCTTATAAGAATAGCACATGGTTTTTCTTTTTTATATGAAGTTTATGAAAAGAGGATTGTGGCTGAAGCTGGATGCTTTACAGTATGTAAGAAAAGTCTGATGATAGTCATGTTAAATAGTCAAATATGTTTTGTATTGATCTGTCTTCTACAAGGATTGGATTTCTTATCATATATGCATATGTGTTTTAATCTCCATTCATGTGCTACCTCTGGATCTCTCTCCAGATTGGTAAATTATATAACATTAGCATAAATCTAGAATTTTTAGTGAAGGCTTAGACCCATAGCCAAGCCCAGAATTGTAATTTATGAGAGAAAAAAAAAAAGCATATGTGGTCGAAATAGCAATGACCTATTGTGTTGTTATCTTGGAGTATCTTATGTTCCTTTATGACCAGTTTTATAAGCTTGTCTGACGTACAACCTAATCAAACTTTAATTTAACATTGATATGCCCATGTATAGTAGTTAGATTTTTTTTTTCAGGTCAACCCTTCGTTTTGTTCAATGATGTTCTACCTATGTGGTTTATGTGTTTGGTTCTTAGAACTTAGGAATACCTTGTGGCTAATTGCTTACCTCTAGATTCGTCCATTGCTTGTCTAGATTTGTGGATAAACTAGTCTTTGCGCATTCTCGTGTCTGTCTGATCAATCTAGTTTTAATTTTCAACCCCAGATAAATGCATCGGTGCTTATACATCAATTTCCATCCATGTGTAAGTGCATAATACACTCATTTAAATAACTTCATTAGAAGGACTTATCATTTTCTATTCATCTACAGGACTTTGATGAGTGCATCGATTATATTGACGAAGCTACAAGATCTAATGATGGTGTGTTCATTCATTGCTTTATGGGAAGATCCAAAAGGTGATTTTATCTTCCAGTATAAGTTGTTGCTTTCAGGTTGTCTTCTTCTCTGTCTTAATTTAAGCTATCAGTTAAGTGAATCCTTCAAATAAGGTTCTGTTGATCTCTTTGATACAACATGGATAAGAAATAATGTTTTAGCATAAATTTTCTATGATTTTGCATCTCAATTATTAATATTAGAATAGAAAAAAAATTTGGGCTTTCAATTGCTGGTTTTAACTAGTTAAAGGTCAATAATTATGTAGTTTTGTTGCCTAATGACCAATTTTAGATATCTTCAAAATTGCATTGTCTCCGGTTGAAGATGGATTCTATCCTTTTCATGGTCTCTCTACTGTTCCTGCTCCTCATTCTGCGTTCTTTAGCACCAAAGAATCGTTGCAAACATGGCATAAAAGACTTGGTCATCCATCTTCTGCTATGTTTCGAAGAATATTAAATAAGCATGGTCTTGCTCACAGTGGTGACAAACTTGTATCTTTCTTTTGCACTGATTGTGCTATAGGCAAGAATCACAAGTTGTCTATTTCTTCTAGTACAAGTTCAGTTTCTACTAGTTTAGAATTGCTCCATTGTGATGTTTGGGGTCCATCTCCCATTCCTTCTGTCAGTGGCTATAGGTTCTACTTGTTGATTGTGGATGAGTTTACAAAATATACCTGGATGTTTCTCATGAAATATAAATCTGAGGTGTTCTCTCTTTTTGTCTCTTTCAAAGCTTATGTAGAAACTATGACTGGCAATAACATCAAAGTCTTGAGATCAGATTCAGGGGGTGAATTTACCAGCTCACAGTTCAATTCTTTTCTATCCTGCAATGGTATTTTTCATCAATATAGCTGCCCTCACACACTAGAACAGAATGGATGTGTAGAACGAAAGCACATGCATTTCACTGAGACTGCAAAGACTCTTTTGGCTTCTTCTCGCGTTCCTCATCAGTTCTGGGTTGAAGCTTTTACAACTGCCTTGTATCTCATCAATCAACTACCAATTTCTCAACTGGATAAATCTCTCTGGGAACTACTATTTCGTAAGTCTCCAGATTATTCAAGATTGAAGGTCTTTGGCTGCAACTGTTATCCTTGGCTTAAACCATACACTTCTTTTAAACTGGATGGCAAAAGCACCCATTGTGTTTTTCTTGGTTACAGTCTTCAGCATAAGGGCGATGCTTGGATATTAAAACTCAGCGTCTTTATATTTCAAGACATGTTCTGTTTAATGAAGGGCACTTCCCTTTTCATGATGCACAGACTCTTCTGCCTTCTTCAAAGTCACAAGGCTCGAATTCTTCTCCTTCAACCTTCATTCTTCCATTTCCCAGTTCTTTCCATGCTCCAGCAACCTCACCATCACCAGTCTCCTCTTCATTACCTATTTCATCTCTGTCGTCTTCCTCTCCACCTTCTCCTCCCCCTCCATCTTTACATTTGTCCTCAAGTTCTTCCTCTCCCACTCCATCCAATATTTCCAACAACTTTCATCCTATGATTACCCGATCCAAAGCCGGTATTTTTAAACCTAAAGCGCTCTCTGTAGCAAAACATCCAATTGTTATGGATAACTTTGTGCCTACTACTTATCTGCAAGCATCCAAACATGCTCACTGGAATCAAGCTATGTTAGAAGAATTTCAAGCTCTTCAAAGCACAGGTACTTGGACTCTTGTCCCCTCTTCTCCTCATCAAAACATTGTTGGTTGTAAATAGGTTTTCCACATTAAGTGCAAACCCGATGGCACAGTTAATCGATACAAGGCCCGTCTTGTAGCCAAAGGGTTTCACCAACAAGAGGGTATTGACTTCAAAGAAACCTTTAGTCCTGTTGCAAAACCAGTGACTATTCGCATCTTATTAACTCTTGTTGTTCAGAATGATTGGTTCCTAAATCAGCTTGATATTAGCAATACGTTTCTGCATAAATCACTAAAAGAGGAGGTGTTTATGCAACAACCTCCTGGTTTTGTTGATGCTTCTCAACCTTCCTTTGTATGCAAGCTCAATCGGTCTCTCTATGGCTTAAAGCAGGCCCCTCGAGCCTGGTATGACAAATTGGGTCATGCCTTTCTCTCCCTTGGTTTTGCAAATTCTACATCAGATTGTTTGTTGTTTGTGCATACCTCTCCTCATCTTGTGATTGTATTAGTCTATGTGGATGATACCATTGTCATTGGACCAAATGCTTCTTCCTGTCAAGCATTCATTCACAAGCTCAATTATATGTTTCCTGTTAAAGATCTCGAGCCTCTTCACTATTTTCTTGGTCTTGAGGTTCATCGCTCATCTGAAGGCATTTTCTTGTCCCAAGGCAAATATGCTATGGATCTCCTTCTTAAGACTAAAATGGAAGGCTGTAAACCTTGTGCCACTCCACTTGGCACTGCTAAACTAGATCATCTTGGCAATCTGTTGTCTGATCCCAAGGAGTACAGGTCTATAGTTGGTGCTCTCTAATACTTCACCTGGACACGGCCAGATCTTTCTTTTGCCTTTAATCAAGTGTGTCAAGTTCTTCATTGCCCCCGAGATACTCATTTCCAAGCAGTCAAACATATTCTACGGTTTCTCAAAGGCTCTGTCGATCAAGGTATCTAGTTTAAAAAAGGTTCTCAACACCTTACAGCTTTCTCGGATGCTAATTGGGCCGGCTGTGTTTTTGATCGAAGATCAACTTCTGGTTATGGCGTTTCCTTAGGTTCCAATCTCATTAGTTGGAGTGCTAAAAAGCAGCCAACGATTGCACGATCTTCAACTGAGGCTAAATATCGATCTCTTACTCTTACTGCTGCCGAAATCACATGGGTTTGTAAAATTTTTAAAGATCTTACTTTTCCACTCTCTCACACTCCTACCTTATGGTGTGCTAATGTGTCTGCCATTTCTTTGGTTTCCAATCCCGTGTTTCATGCTCGTACAAAACATATTGAGATTGATTATCACTATATCAGGGAACTTGTTCTTGCGGATCTCATCACAGTTTTGTATGTAAATACTGAGCATCAGATTGTTGATATTCATACAAAGTCTATGTCCAAGTCACGGTTTCACTATCTCCGGTCCAAGCTTTCTCTAGGTGCTCCACCGCTTAGCTTGAGGTGGTGTAAAGGGATACCACTTAGTTAATAGCTACAACTGTAATTTTTTGGTTATAATAGTCTTGTAACTAATCTCTGTGTTAAGAGATTAAATTAAGTATAATTAGTTACTAAGCCTAATTAGACAAATGTATATAAACTGAGTTGTATTCCTTTCTCATTAAGAAAAAGAAATAATAAAAGAGCACTTGTTTGTATATGTTTCAAGAGCACACATGCCAAAAATCATAAAAACAAAAAAGAAACATTCAGAGCTTAAGTAATGAGACAAAACATTTCAACGCTTATAAATGAAAAATCATGATTTAACGGCTATTTTAACTCTGATTTTGATGATTTTATACAATTACACTCCTTGACCCTATGTGAATACAATGAATGAACTCGATCGTCAATTTAAAATATTTACACTTGTGGATACCACAAAATCTTATGTTATACCTAATGAAAGTACAAAAAAACTCTTAAGTGTTAGCGAATCTATTATTTTGATAGGATACGCATTCCACAAAACTAATTTCAATGATCCAACCGTCAAACTTGTTTGTACATGGTTTGAGATCACATACGCCAAAAATCGCAGAAAAAAACATGTAGAGATCAAGTAACGAGACAAAACTTTTCGACGGTTATAAACCAAAAAGCACAATTTAATGGTAGTTTTAACTTCGATTTTGATTATTTTTTACAGCTACACTTCTGGATCCTATATGAACACAATGAACTAATTCAATCGTCAATTTAAAATATTTACACAAATGGATACCACAAAATCTTATGTTATACTTAATGAAGATATAAATAAACTTTAAGTGTTAGTGAATCTATCGTTTTGATGGGAAACACATTGTACGAAACTAGTTTCAATTATCCAACCGTCAAACTTGTTTGTATATGCTTCAAGATCGCATACGCCAAAAATTGCAAAAATTGCAAAAATTGCGAAAAAAAAAAAAAAAAAAAAAAAAAGAAAACATGCAGAGATCATGTAACGGGATAAAACTTTTCGACGGTTATAAATGAAAAAGGACGATTAAACAGTAGTTTTTACTCTGATTTTGATGATTTTTTTTACAGCTATACTCTTGGATCCTATATGAATACAATGAACTAATTCGATCTTCAATTTAAAATATTTACATAAGTGGATACCACAAAATCTTATGTTTTACTTAATGAAAGTATAAATATACACTAAGTGTTAGTGAATCTATCATTTTGATGGAAAATGCATTGTACAAAACTAGTTTCAACGATCCAATCGTCAAACTTGTTTGTATATGCTTCAAGATCGCATATGCCAAAAATCGCAAAAAACAAACATGCAGAGATCAAGTACGGGACAAAACTTTTCGACGGTTACGAAAAAAGCATGATTTAACGGTTATTTTAACTTCGATTTTGATGATTTTTTACAGCTACATTCCTTGATCCTATATGAATACAAAGAACTAATTCGATCGTCAAATTAAAACATTTAGAAAAGTAGATACCACAAAATCTTATATTATACTTAATGAAAGTATAAATAAACTCCAAATGTTAGTGAATCTATTGTTTTGATGGGACATGCATTGTACAAAACTATTTTCAACGATCCGACCGTCAAACTTATTTGTAAATGTTTCGAGATCGCATACACCAAAAGTTGCAAAAAAAAAACATTCAGATATCAAGTAACAGGACAAACCTTTTCAACGGTTATAAATGAAAAATCACGATTTAACGGTTATTTTAACTCCAATTTTGATCATTTTTTACAGCTATACTGCTTAACCCTATATGAATACAGTGAACTAATTCGATTGTCAATTTCAAACATTTACACAATTGGATACCACAAACGAAAAAGGCAATGCAAGAACCCCAAAAGAAAAGGAAAAGGAAAAAAAAAATCCTGTTTTGTGTGACGAAGGTTTACATTTGTCACACAAAGTATTTTTTTTCCCCTTTGCTTATGAACTAATTTGATCATTGATTTAGAACATTTACACAAGTGGATACCACAAAATCTTATGTTATACTTAATGAAAGCATAAATAAACTCCAAGTGTTAGTGAATCTATTGTTTTGATGGGATACGCATTGTACAAAACAAGTTTCAATGATCCGACCGTCAAACTTGTTTGAATATGCTTCGAGATCGCATATGCCAAAAATTGCAAAAAACAAACATTT